GATTCTGTGATTCTAAAACAATTGAGTTTTCCATAACTGATTACTCAGTATTACAGTAAAAAGCATGTGGTTTATGTCATGGCAATATTCTACAAATGAATTCTAAAATGGTAACTGCAGTCCATCTTTAGAAAGGCATCATATGTTGCCACTGAAATGAAATTCAATAATTTTCGTGCCAGATTTGTACTGCAGATTTATTTTATCTCAGTTAACTGAGATTTCTTTGCCACTCTATTTCCATCTATGAACTGCAGAGTGTCCCACTTTTCATAGATGAATAACAAAATTACATTCATTTAATATTCCAAATCTATGCATAGAAAATATCGTTTGATCCCTCATTGCCATGTTCTGTTTCCAAGAGCACCCAGTAGCAAGTAATCAGTGAAAGATGCAAAATAGAAAGGTTTTGTAGTATATTGCTTCACATGATGATTACTCAGTAAGATCAAACATGCCAGATGTTAAACAAATATCCATTGAACTATTTTCCTTTTGAGAGCACTTAAAAGATTACATTGCAGAAATGCTTTACATTTCCTGTAATATAATTTGCAATATATAAAGAAATACTAGAAACTCAATTTGAGATGAACACCCAGAAGCAAAACTTTATTGCAGTATGTTTTCAGGTCAACCACGGATGAAAGGATAATGAAAACATGCTACTAGAAATACTGTTCAGTACTGGGCAGGTCCCATCTTGTAGTGTCCTTCCCTCAATCTAACTTAGAAGCAGTTAAAGCAGGTCAGATAGCAGAGGATTACCTGTGTTTGTTCCTTGAAATTACTGCAATGTGGTTTGCTACTCTGAGACAGAGTTGTACTGTCCTTCCTGACCTTCTCCTTTTCTTATAGCTTGGAGATTTTGTGGATGGATGGGATCTCTGCCAGGAGCATTCAGTTGTGAAAATATGACAACAAAACATATGACCCATCAATTTGGAAATGATTATCTACAATATAGATATATAATTTCCTATTCTACATGCATTATCTTGTTCTGTATTCATGACAGTGAAATATACAACATCAGCCACTGTGTGTGCAGTGATGTGGAATTACTGACACCTTACTACATAGATTTTTTTTCAGGTATGCATTTCCCTGAACTCTGTTGCTGTGTGCCTCATTTGGAGGTTGACTGTATGATTGCTGGACAATAGCTACTGTTGAAAACCTTGGGCACGGAAACACATACTTAGTGGGTCAGAATGCATGGAATTTCTTCACCGTGACATAGCTATTTTAGAAAAATTGCAGTATGAATTGTAGCATTTATTTTCTGTTTTTCTGGCTGCCATTCACTTGTATGCTCACACTGATTAACATACTTATTCTGGGAAGGTATTAATCCACCCTTCTCCTCCCGGATCCAACACATACCTGAAGAAGCTGAAAGAAAGTCTCAAAGCCACAGAAAAAACAATTTAAGGCTGCTGAAAATTAGTTTAAGAATATTTACAAAAAGGTTCACATTTTCAAATACTGATGAGGAAATACTTGGCCATGAGAACTCAGAGGATGTCTCGTTTTGTGCCTTGTGTGCCTTCTCAATTGGGCACAGACAACATGTAGAAGTAAAATGTGTGTTACGAAGGCTGAAGAGATAGCTAACCTGAGAAAGAAACAAATAAAAGAGCTTAAGGGACAATTTGGTAATGCTATAGGAGGAAACTGATGCCTAGGCAGTAGCTGGCCAAGAAGCCTGGACCTAAGAATTATTGGATGACATGTAGGAACAAACTGTCATGAGTCCTGGAACCTGGAACTGACTGTGCAAAGAAAGTGGGAGAAAAAGAGGACAAAACAAATGAAGGTCAAAACTGAGTTACAGGGAAGAAATTGATGGGGCTGACAAGCCAGGCATGTAGTGATTATGAATCTATATTTGCTTTACAATCCAATGGTAGACTGTTTTTCTTCTCTGAGAAATTATATAAATCTGAGTTGTGCTATGCTGAGAAAAGCCTCAGAAATATGTCTTCTGATTTTTAGGCAAGCATCCTAGTGTCATCACACCATTTTAGAGAACATGAGCAATACCCCGTACAGTAGGACATGTCAAGTGATCAAATATGGTGCTGGGCTATGAATCCTAATTTGGGGGAGCCACTGCCTCCAGGAAGGAAAGGAGTGCAGAATGACCCCCTTCTGTTCAGTGCTTCCTAGGGATTTATTTCCATCATGCATTCCTGGTGTTGTAACACCGCTCATAGCTGCCTCATGCTCTCCATTCTACAAAGACTGGAGGGAAAATGGGACTTAAGGAGGAAGAAGCAGGGAGAGTGAGCTAGCGGCTGCTTGGTTCTGAGTTACCAGCTGGGCCTAAACCGTGACAGTTCAATTGTCTCTCCTGAAGCCACATGCCTAACTTACAGTCTCTTCAGTGTTGGCAGTAACATCTAAATTGCATCTGAGCCTTAGTGCTTGGATACAAATATTACTCAGGAATCCTCTGGCAGAGGCAAACCTGTTCTCCTGTAAAACGCATAAGTCCCTTAGTCACAGGACCTTCTTTTCTAATCTCAACATTTCTGGCTTCTTCTCTGGTGCATCTGGTTGATAAAAAATTATGCAGAGGGCTCTGCATATCAGATGCCTTCACCTGTGACAGTTCGATTTACCCCTGCAAAAAGAAAGCAGGATTTTTCTATAGGTAAAAGGTACCGGAAGAAAAAATTGTGCAAAGAAAATGTGAAACTTAATACATGGGGTCAAATTAAAAATGTTCAGGCAGATTTTTACTTTTTGTTTTTTTTTTAATATAATCTCATGAATTATGTTATCTTAACCTATTTTATATGTGTAATGTAGAATGCTTGTGAATATTTACACTGGGTTTTATATTTGGCTAGCGTACTACCACCTCCCTTGCTCCCTATTCACTTGTAAGCTCTAAGACAAAAAAGCCTATAGTATAAGTGCTTCTGGGGGAATTTCTTCCAAAGTAAATTCCGTTTGGATTTAAGTAATTTATTCAGAAATGACCAGAGAGAAATCACTTGTAGAGAATATTGCCCTGTCATTTTAAGTCAGGTCTTCAAAAAGCCATCAGGGTAGCATCTTCATTTGCTTATTTCATTTGAAAAATGCTGGAAATGCTATCCAATGAAGACAGGAGGGAATGGGGATTTTTAGGCACTTTTTTCTGGTTTACTTGTAAATTTTTTATATCACTGGGATTTTAGGAGTTCTTAAAAAATAAGTCTTGGTTGGCCAGATTACATACTGGTCATGTCATAATTTTATGATGTCAGTGTGTGTTTCACCTACATAGAAGTGATTTATCAGCCTTGCTAGCAGTGTATCTGAAAGGAAAAAAAACAGTACCTAAACCTAATACTTCTTCACACATACTGATGGAATGATAACCAGTCTTGTATACTTTTAAAGTCATTTGTCTTGTAAAGAAACATGCGCACTAAAAAGGAATGGTCCAGCTAGCAGTTGTCAGGTTTGCATGCCATTTGCAGCCCTTTCTAAATCATGTTCTTCCTAGGAAGCTCACCACATTTGCCACACTTTCCTTGGAATGAGACCACATGGGCTTTAAATTGATGCAAGATTATTATTTGAGAAGGTCAGTTGTAGCTGTCGTAAGGAGCCAAAAATAGTTCTTCAAACAGAAAGCCTGTTTAAGATTTTTGCTAAGCAGATGTGGCTTTGACTGCAGTTAGAATTTATAACTCACCTTCAAACGTCAAGAATGTTTCAAAACAGTTTTGCCATACACTCCTCCCCAGTTATGTCTTGTGGTTGCCATTAAGATGATCAGTCTCTGTTGGTATTTTAATGGTATTCATAAGGGGAGGGAGGGACTGCTAAGTCTCACCAATTTCTCTGATATGATGGCAAAGCTGTACAACCACAACACAGGTGGCAGAGCCTGTTCCCAGCTCAGCCAGCCATCCTCCTGCTGGTTCTTGGCAGCTGGTTTCCAGAGCCCTGGGCTTCTGATTTTGTTCTTGCAAAAAGACAGTAAAAATCTCTACTTCCATTAGGCATATTGTTATTTCTAATGTTATTCATTATTATATCCATGCATGGCTATCAATGCCTATTCTTAAGTGCGGAAGCTTTTGTGTGTTCTTTAAATAAAGAGCATCTGCTGCTGTGACTGAGGTCTTTGGGTGGTCATACATATGGTAAGAACACCATGCATAAGACAATGAGATTTTGCATGTGTTTGGTGTCCTTGATAGCTGTTTATCATGTCTTAACTCATAAGGCAATCTTGTTGTTGAAGAGCTACAATAGAAGACACTTTCTGAAGATGCCATTTTCTTTGTCAAGGAAGATTATGGGGAAAAGGCAATAGAAAACACTAGTGTTTATGCACTGCTCTATGAACTCGTGTTTTGAGAAAAGGCTGAAATTTAGAGAGAAGATGTGAAAGGCTGACACAAACCTTACTACATAGTCAATAGTGAATCTAAATACATGTGTGCATTTATAAGTAAATATTCATCTGTGTTGTTAGAAGGAGCATAAGAAAACTCAAAACCAAGCGACAAATTTTTTTATATCTACTAGTCACTTAAAATTACCTGCAACATTTTACTGCAGACTATTATGCCTATAATCCTATAAACCAGTCCTCCTTTGGAGAGTCTCATCTGGTTTTAATAGTGAAAAACTGCAAAATGTGAAAGGATATGGATTTCACCTACCAATGCGCAGTTCAGATCTATATGAGCACAAGTAACTGTTCACAGAAAAAATGGCTCATTGTGAACAGTGAAGTTTTAATTAGGTGATCTTTTTTCCTTTTCCTGTGGCATCCCTTTGATGTTTTTTCTATTCCTTTAAAAATATTTTTGTTACCCAGAATTGTTTTTTTTTAATAATGTATTATATTTTCCATTTAAAAACATTAAAACAAACATTCTGCTCATCATCTAGTTTGTAGGACAAAACTTTATTTATTTATTGGAAAATACAGGAAGGATATATTGTTCTGTTTTCACACGCGCCCCTTTCTCATTTTCCTACAGCGTATTGGAAGTCTGTGTCACAGTGTGTCTTTTTGGCTGACCTTCAGGAAAACTCCATTAATATATTCTGGTAAGGAAAGGTGAAATATATCTGTGAGATGAATGGAGACAAAATTGTGAGGCAAAACCTGAATACTTAGAGAAGAACTAAGTGAAAGATACTTGTTCTATCTGAGACAGTAAGACAGCCTTTAAGTCTTGATGCTCAAATTATACAAACATGTAATAGAGAGTGGCAAATATTCTGATTACTTTCATTACTTGGATTTAAGTGATCTACACACCAGACAGTGAGCACCCATGCTGCACAGTGCAGACTATATTAACATCTACTCAAATGTAGCTTCTATTTGCAAAGTGTTTGAATGCGCAGCGTGTTCTTCAGAGTTCAATTAAAAAGCTTGCCCGTAAATCAAGAACACAGCCAACACAAAAGGCACAACTCAGCTGCTGTGAAAGTATGATGTTTTGCTGGCAATATATATGGAAAAAGCCATTAAAATGCTTATGAAGCCAAATAAAGGCTCAGGGTTGTTGGACTGTTTGCACTGGCTGTTCATACAATTTCAACAAAATCGACGCCTACAACCAACATGCAACAATTAGGCTTCAAAGAGTGTTTGATTACAAAATAGGTGAAAAAACAGTAAATTTCAGTGCACTGCTGTTAGTGTTCACTTTCAATTTCTTTGCTTGGAAAGGCGAAGTTTGTATAGTTTCTTACTTAATTATGACTGCATTATTTTAACTCTGAAAAATCAGGTTTTAATTCTGAATCCACAGTTATACATTTGGAGGTTATTTTCTGAAAACATTTGTTCAAATAGACTTATGCTGCTTGTTTTTCATATAACTGAGCTATAATACCGTGCAAATATGATCATGATTAGGATGCACATAAAATGAACAGTCTGGAATTAAATTCCTAGTGAACATTCGTATAATATAGTACTAGGGTGACCTGTGGTACACTCCTAGTGATATACTAGAGGCAGCAAACAGCCGATGTGAATATTGTGCCTTGATTTTATTGAGGAAAAATGCTATCAACAGAAAGGCAATTGATTACAGCCACAAAGTCTCAGAGCTCTCTTGTAACATCTTGCTTGTCTGTGGGGAGCTAAGTATTCCACTTCTTGCCCACAGTTTTCACATCCCAGCCTCTACTCATGCTCCTGCTGGCTTTAGTTAGCAATGTTCATCACATCTTTTTTTTGTGTGCTTTATTGTATAGGGCTCTTTGTGTTCATGGGTGGTTGCTGCTGCATTTCACACCCTTCCAAATGTTGCAGGTTTGTGACTGCCTTCAGCAGGGTTTTATGTGGCAGCCATGCCTAAAGTATAATCCTAAATCTACTCAATTCTGGAAGATCTTTTGTAGCTTCAGTAGCACACTGAGTTCAGGTTTCCAGTAGACATAATAACAAGGAGCTTAAAAAAAAAAGAAAAAAAGGAAAAGATAAAAAGGTTATTTGAGACAGACCCCAGTTGATTTACCTCAAAAAGGTTTTCTCTTCTCCAGGAGATAGCACATCTAAGATAGAATGACATGATTGCTGAGTCAACCTGATGGTTTTTTCACTAGAGCACAGGCTTTTATTGGTGTGGTAACACTGCTGCTGCATAGAATGATCTTTTAAATACGTCAAGAATTTAAGACACTTGTCAGCTGCACTTTGCAGATCCTATTTGTAACACGGGACTCTTCGTATTCAAAAAGCTTTACACATTAGCCTTTTGGCTTCAGACAGAAGCTCACTATTGCATTCTTTTGCACTGAATAGAGGCTTTTACACTGTAAATGTGCCCTTATCTAATTTATAGGGTTACTTCCAGCCATCCAATACAACCACATATAACTGTGCAGTTGTTAAGAGGTTATTTTATTTCATTTTGAACAGGTTTTTTTTTTTTTTCTTTTGTCTTCCAGCAGGGTAAAATGAAGGAAGGCTGGCGGCATATGGTATTTCCAAACTTACTCTGTTTAGGTCTTTCTTTGGTATGAATACCTATATCACTTAAGTTATGGCATTAGATCTTCCCATAACATCTTTGTTGCTAATTCTGTTCTGACTTTGTGGTTGTTGTTTGATTATACCTTTCCATTACATTATAACTTTCATTCAGGAAGATTGCGATGCACTATTTTATTAATGTCAAAACTCTTGATCTAAACACCCAGATGAACACAGCCTTTTCCTGAGTGCTGTGGTTATTCCAAAGCAATTCCTTATTCCCTTTGTTCCACTTCTCCTTCCTCTGTACCTAGCCACATAAGATACCTACTCCAGCTCTGCCTCTCACTGGATCCACAGTGAAAAGGTAATTCAGGTTCTGAAGTAACACAAAATGCATCCAGGAGAAGAATGAACATTTACCATCTGGTTTTATGAGCTGAACTGGCTTGCCAATAAGGCAGAGCTGGCGCAAGGCATAGGGCAGGACACTGCACCTACAAACAGGTCCCAGCCTGATGGAGCCAAGGCAGGGAGATGAAGCAGCTGAACCACCCCCCTGGGAGGTGTTTTTCTTGTGAGAGTGTTTTAGATGAGCTCAGCTCTCTAACTGCAGACAGAGGTTAGTTAATGCCAACTGCCTGAGATGGACTTGTCTTGGACCTGAGTTCAAACAGAGATATATGCCCTCTAATGAAAACAGCCACGTGCGCAGCTTTGCCTGTCCTTCAAAGTAAGGCAGGTTCACTAACACTGCTCCTTGCTAAAGTCTCCAAGCCTGTTTAACACTTTGACTCAGATGAGAAGTTATCAACAATATCCCATCCTGCTGCAGTCTATTAAAAAAAAACAAACCAAACCAAAGCTGCTTTGTTGTTACTGTCAGTTTGGTAAAAATGCTGAGAAAGCAGCCCAAGGTGATATAGCTCTAAATAGTATATTACATTGCTTGTATTTTTAGGACTCCATATGAAAGAACCATATTCCAGCCTGGACCAGGTAGTGAATCAGTCAAATAGTGTCCCTTCTAGTGAGGTATTTCTACAGTGTAGAGAATAACTTCAGAGAAAGAAAGCACTGAGGAGGGCATTTCAAGACCAGGTTGGACAGAGCCTTGGCTGACATGGTTTAGTGTGAGGTGTCCCTGCCCATGGCAGGGGGGTTGGAACTAGATGATCTTAAGGTCCTTTCCAGCCCTAACTATTCTATGATTCTACGATTCTATTTCTGTAGGCTTGTGGTTAGGCTGTTCATCTAAGGGAGAGCCCTGGGCTCTGTTTCCTGCTCCCTGGTCTGCTTAAGTAAACGGATATTAGCTGCAGATGAAGTCTCAGGGACTGAGGCTAGGGCATCCAAGTCCTCAGCCTTGTCAGTGGTTGGACTGGACTGCGGATTCTTCATTCTTGGCTGCCTACAAGCACAAGTTCATTAGTGTTTTCGAGAGTCCTCACTTTCCCCAACCCAACCCAGACCAGCCTACTGTCTGGTGATGAGCACACTATCCAGGCAGCGTAGGCTTGGATGCCCCTGGGCAAAAGATTCCATTGTTTGACACCTGGGTTGTTGCAAGTCAGTGAATGCTATCTGGGACAAAGTGAATTCGGTGCAAAGTGTCTCTGACCAGGATGGTGCAGCAATCTCCTTCTTCCTGCATCTCTGTTTCCTCATCTGTTTGTGATTCCCTAGGTGTCCTCTTTCATTGGTTTGAGGCTTTTGTGACAATCATGATGAGAATGTATTGACTAAAACATGTTCAAAAGAGACATGCTGTTATGATTGGCCTGATCTCTATATATGCTGTGCATATAATGGTCAATAGCGGGATAAGAATAGTGGAACATCTTGGAGTAAGGAGGGAATCAGTGTAGCACAACCTTCTCACTGAGGAAAGCAAGGAGCCCCCAGAACTTCTAGGAGTGATGGTAAATCAGCACAGGGCCTCATCTGAGGACATGAGCAGTGAATATGAGACAGCACAAAGCTTTACTGAGTGCTGCTGGGCCAGATTTGGGCAGAAAACAGAAAAAAATCCACGCAGACAAACAGCAACACTCAGCTGAGTCAAATGCTTTCATCCTTCCTAAAATATGGGCTTATTTCCTTCTCTGGGCAATGAATTTAACCTCATCCCTTCTATCTCACATTTTTACAGTTAATATAGCTATGCACTGATATACCTAGAACTTATATAGCTCAGTGATTACAGACCTTCTCATGGCAGATCTAGAAACAGGAATACAGCTCTCAGTTGAGACAATTTATCTCCAGAGGAGAAAATTCAGGACTCAGAGGCATGATAAAGTCACTGTGCATAAGTTAGTGCATGCTGAATTTGGGTCTGTAGCTGTTGGCATCTGTCTCTGTGAATGCTCTCACGTGTCAGACCCTACATGAGAACAGCTTAAACTGTGGCACATCATGCTACAACCAAGGTTGGCTGAGTTTCTGAATGGGGATAATTGTTCTGCCTTACCTCACAGATGGCAACTTGATAATCTACAGTCTAGGCCCTGTCTCAGGAACTCCTGCAGCATTCTGCAAGACCTAGCTCCTAGCTTTTTTGATAAATCTCTAGGCTTTGAAAAGCTGTGTGCTCATAACACCTTGTGACCAGCTTGTCTTAGAAATTAAGGAACATTTTTCTTCTGAACATAAACATGAATGTAGTGTAATTCAATGAACTTCATTGAAGTACTTCTGGATTTACTTTGGTATAGTTGACAGCAGAATTTGGCTCTATATTTGTTGGCATGCGCTCTATGGGACATTGTGAGAAAAAAAAACAAAGTTATGCTTCTTAAACCATGTTTCAGCTTGCTGGTGGATCTGAGCTTTAAATACTACGCTCTAGTCTAATGCCAGAAATTTTACCTGCTTTCAGATCTCCTCACTGTAAACTGTCTGCCAAGGCTTGAAGTCTGTAGGTGTAAAATACAGTTAAGGAGGTTTATGTTCTGCGACCTGCCAAGCAAAGTAGAGTCCATGTTTCTCCTGTATTAATGACTTACATACATTGTGGCATGTCTGAAAAACTAAGGCTTTAATTAGCAAAAAATAGAAAGTGTTTTAAACATAGCCAATTTTGGTATATTAGTGCTACTACCTATAAATTTGA